CCACCCCTTTATTTCCACATTTTGGTCATCTTACAGCCTGAATTTAAAATTGATAAAATTGAGATTGTGTCACTGATCTACACACAATACCCCATAATAAACACAGTGGAATTTTGTTTATATAATTTGTTTTAAATGTATACAACAATGTAAAGCTGAAATGTCTTTGTTATGGCAAGTCTAAATAAGTTCAGGAGTAAAAATGTGCTAAACAGAACTGCTGTAACTCATATGACCCATGTCATCCAAAAAGTTATACTGTTGACTCATCTGTCCATAGAACATTCTTCCAAGAGTCTTGATGATCATCCAGGTTCTTCCAGTTGCTTTTTGGCAAACTTGAGTCAACATTTTGGACGACATGGTTCCCCCATTAATGCCTGGTTGAAAACCAAACACTGCATTCCACAGTAAGAACCTCATGCCAACGGTCAAGCGTGGTGGTGGTGGTGTGATGGTTTGGGGAGATGCTTTGTTGCCTCAGGACCTGGACGACTTGCCTTAATAGAAGGAGCCATGAATTCCGTATCAGATAATTGTACAGGAGAATGTCAGGCCATCCGTCTGTGAGCTGAAGCGCAGCTGGGTCATGCAGCAAGACAATGATCCAAAACACACAAATCAAGTCTATATGAAAATGGTTAAAAAGAAACAAATTTCAAGTTTTCAATATTTATTCAATTTTGAATTCAGGCTGTAACCCAACAAAAAATGTGGAATAAGTCAAGGGGGTATGAATACTTTCTGAAAGCGCTGTACCATTAGCTCTACGTAGCACGTGCCCCTTTGCCCTTCCAGTCTCCAAAGTGGTTGTACAATTTCACCTCAATCAAAAAGTTGTACGTTGCATTTACAGTGCTTGCCAATGATGCTCGTTCGAACCACCAGATGGCCTCTTTGAGCACATCTACTCCATTTATTAAATCAGGGCATTTGAAGCCGAGCAGAGATCAATGCCATGCAATTGTGAATCCACTTCATGATTAAAATTGTATTATATTTAATTGTAGGCCTATAGCCTACTGTGCAGTGCCTTGCAAAAGTATTCATCCCCCTTGGCATTTTTCCTATTTTTGTTGCATTACAACCTGTAATTTAAATGGATTTTTATTTGGATTTCATGGAATGGACATACACAAAATAGTCCAAAAAAATAACTTGTTTCAAAAATTCTAAAAAATAAATAACGGAAAAGTGGCACAGGTCCAAATCCAGGCACTTGTCATCCCCCGTCTGGATTACTGCAACTCGCTGTTGGCTGGGCTCCCTGCCTGTGCCATTAAACCCCTACAGCTTATCCAGAACGCTGCAGCCCGTCTGGTGTTCAACCTTCCCAAGTTCTCTCATGTCACCCCGCTCCTCCGCACACTCCACTGGCTTCCAGTTGAAACTCGCATCTACTACAAAACCATGGTGCTTGCCTATGGAGCTGTGAGGGGAACGGCACCTCCTTACCTTCAGGCTCTGATCAGACCCTACACCCAAACGAGGGCACTATGTTCATCCACATCTGGCCTGCTAGCCCCCCTAACTCTACGGAAGCACAGTTCCCGCTCAGCCCAGTCAAAGCTATTCGCTGCTCTGGCACCCCAATGGTGGAACAAGCTCCCCCACGACAGCGGAGTCACTGACCACCTTCCGGAGACACTTGAAACGCTACCTCTTTAAGGAATACCTGGAATAGTCTAACAGTAATCCTTCTACACCCCCCCTCCCCCAGTGGTGGTTGTCCCACTGGCTATCCTAAGTTGAATGCACCAATTTGTAAGTCGCTCTGGATAAATGACTTAAATGTAAAATGTAAACGGTGCGTGCATATGTACTCACCCCCTTTGCTATGAAGCCCCTAAATAAGATCTGGTGCAACCAATTACCTTCAGAAGTCGCATAATTAGTTTTAAAAAGTCCACCTGTGTGCAACCTAAGTGTCACATGATATGTCACATGATCTCAGTATATATACACCTGTTCTGAAAGGCCCCAGAGTCTGCAACACCACTAAGCAAGGGGCACCACCAAGCAAGCGGCACCATGAAGACCAAGGAGCTCTCCAAACAGGTCAGGGACAAAGTCGTGGAGAAGTACAGATCAGGGTTGGGTTATAAAAAAATATCGGAAACTTTGAACATCCCACGGAGCACCATTAAATCCATTATAAAAAAATTGAAAGAATATGGCACCACAACAAACCTGCCAAGAGTGGGCCGCCCACCAAAACTCACGGACCAGGCAAGGAGGGCATTAATCAGAGAGGCAACAAAGAGACCAAAGATAACCCTGAAGGAGCTGCAAAGCTCCACAGCGGAGATTGGAGTAACTGTCCATAGGACCACTTTAAGCCGTACCCTCCACAGAGCTGGGCTTTACGGAAGAGTGGCCAGAAAAAAGCCATTGCTTAAAGAAAAAAATAAGCAAACACGTTTGGTGTTCGCCAAAAGGCATGTGGGAGACTCCCCAAACATATGGAAGAAGGTACTCTGGTCAGATGAGACTAAAATTGAGCTTTTTGGCCATCAAGGAAAACGCTATGTCTGGCGCAAACCCAACACCTCTCATCACCCCGAGAACACCATCTCCACAGTGAAGCATGGTGGTGGCAGCATCATGCTGTGGGGATGTCTTTCATCGACAGGGACTGGGAAACTGGTCAGAATTGAAGGAATGATGGATGCCGCTAAATACAGGGAAATTCTTGAGGGAAACCTGTTTCAGTCTTCCAGAGATTTGAGACTGGGACGGAGGTTCACCTTCCAGCAGGACAATGATGCTAAGCATACAGCTAAAGCAACACTTGAGTGGTTTAAGGGGAAACATTTAAATGTCTTGGATGGCCTAGTCAAAGCCCAGATCTCAATCCAATTGAGAATATGTGGCATGACTTAAAGATTGCTGTACACCAGCGGAACCCATCCAACTTGAAGGAGCTGGAGCAGTTTTGCCTTGAAGAATGGGCAAAAATCCCAGTGGCTAGATGTACCAAGCTTATAGAGACATACCCCAAGAGACTTGCAGCTGTAATTGCTGCAAAAGGTGTCTCTACAAAGTATTGACTTTGGGGGGGGTGAATAGTTATGCACGCTACAATTTTCAGTTTTTTGTCTTATTTCTTGTTTGTTTCACAAGAAAAAATATTTTGCATCTTCAAAGTGGTAGGCATGTTGTGTAAATCAAATGATACAAACCCCCAAAAAATCAATTTTAATTCCAGGTTGTAAAGCAACAAAATAGGAAAAATGGTTACTACATGATTCCATATGTGTTATTTTATAGTTGTGATGTCTTCACTATTATTCTACAATGTAGAAAATAGTAAAACATAAAGAAAACCCCTGGAATGAGTAGGTGTGTCCAAACTTTTGACTGGTACTGTATATATTAAAAATTAAAGATCAGGAAACTATTGTTTTTAGATGTATTTTACCCCTTAGTTTAGACACTAAACTATCTCCTTATCTCCTTCCATTTTTTTTTTTTTACTGGTACCCGGCTACCTTCAGACTAGTCTTGTGGGCGTCCTACAGCAAAACAACCGACACATACCTGTTCATGAGAGACTCACCTTTCCATAGAGGGGTCATATTAGTGTGTAGCCCAAACTGTTCAGATGCTACAGACAGAAATTGGCAGATCGGATGTACCGACTTTCAGATGAGTCCCAAGACGCTTGTGGGGGTTCGTAGAGCAAAACGGAGCACACCATAGTTTGTAGCCAAACTGCTCGGACGCTACAGACGTTCTTGTCAGAAGACCGATTTTCGGGGATGTCTCATGGTCTGACAAACACCGCTCTAGCTCTGCCACCTTTCACCACAGATGCGGAAGTGCGACACTGGCGGATGCGGTGGATTGAGACACAGTCTTTGCAAAAAAAAAAAAAAACAGCTTAAATGTACAGATTTTGATGGGGACCTTTTTATTATGCAAATTATTTTTCTGCGGGGCCGCGCACATCGACTCTAGGGGGGTAACACTACCCTCTCCTTACATTCAAATTAGTTTCAATCACCAATTAGCTATTATGAGCGTTTCGGCTGGCTATTGCCCACTCGTGTCTCTCTTTGGTTATGAATTCTTCGCAGAACAGCAGAACGGTCCGGACAGCCCTCGCTGTGCTTGGTGAGCAGTTCGTCAAGTTCTGCCATGGTTGTTGCCTCTGCCTGTCAGAGGTGGAGTTCCAGAGCTCACAGGTGTGCCTGGCATGGATTGTGACTCCATCGTCTTGTCCCTCACCCTCTTCTACCCGTTATTCTCCGCCTGACTCTCTGCCACTGCGGCACTCCATCATTGCGGCCTGGCTCCGGATCAATGCATCAGCTGTTGCCCGTATCTCTGCCCTCAGAGAATGTTTTTCTCTCTGCTGCTCTGCCTTCAATGACTCGTTTTTGGTCTTCAAAGTTTGAATCTAATGTGTGTGCACCTTCAACAGAAGAGCCCCCAATCTCTGCTGTACTAAATACTTTAAAACAGACTCTCTGGGATTGATTGTAATTTGTTTGTCAATTATTATTGTATTTGTTTTGTTTACAATGTTCCAAATAGTCAGAAAAAATATTGTAATCTAACAGTATCTGTTAGATTACAGCGCTCGCTCCTCCTCCCCTCCTCCCCTCCTCCCCTCCTCCTCCTACCATCCTCCTCCCCTCCTTCTACCATCCTCCTCCCCTCCTCCTCTCCTCCTTCTAACCCCTCCTCCCCCCTCCTCTTCCTCCTCCTCCTCCTCCCCTCCCCTCCTTCTCCTCCTCCCCTCCTCCTCTCCTCCTTCTACCCTCCCTCCTCCCCTCCTCCTCCTCTCCTCCTTCTACCCTCCTCCTCCCCTCCTCCTCTTTCTACCCTCCTCTTCCCCTCCGTCTCCTCCTCCCCTCCTCCTCTCCCCCTTCTAACCCGCCTCCTCCTCCCCCATCCCTCCTCCTCCTCCTCCTCCCCTCCTTCTCCCCCCTCCTCGCGCCTCTCCTCCTCCTTCTACCCCTCCTCCTCCGCTCCTCCTTCCTAACCCGCCTCCTTCACCTCCTCCCTCTCCTCCTTCTCCCCTCCTCCTCCTCTCCTCCTTCTCCCCTCCTCCTCCTCCTCCCCTCCTCCTCTCCCCCTCCCTCCTCCCCCCTCCTCCCCCCTCCTTCTCCTCCCTCCTCCCCCTCCTCCTCTCTCCTCCTCCTACCTCCTCCTTCTCCTCCCCTCCTCCTCTTCTCCTCCTCTACCCTCCTCCTCCCCTCCTCCTCCTCCCCTCCTCCCCTCCTCCTCTCCTCCTTCTCTCCTCCTCCCTCTCCTCCTTCTCCCTCCCCCTCCTCCTCTCCTCCTCCTTCTACTCCCTCCTCCTCCTCCCCTCCTCCCTCCCTCCTCCTCCTCCTCCCCTCCTTCTCCCTCCTCCTCCCCTCCTCCTCTCTCCCCTCCTCTCCTTCCCCTCCTCCTCCTCCTCCTCCTCTCCCCTCCTCCCCTCTCCCCTCCTCCTCCCCCTCTCCTCCTCCTCCTCCTCTCCTCTCCTTCTACCCTCCTCCTCCTCCTCCTCCTCCCCTCCCTCCCTCCTCCTCCTCCCTCCTCCTCCTCCCTCCTCTCTCCCCTCCTCCTCCTTCTCCCCTCCTTTCTAACCCCTCCTCCCCCTCCTCCTCCTCCTCCTTCCTCCTCCTCCCCTCCCCTCCTTCTCCTCCTCCTCCTCCTCCTCCCCTCTCCCCTCCTCCTCCCTCCTCCTCCCTCCTCCTCCTCCTCCCCTCCTCCTCCTCCCTTCCTTCTTGGTCTCCTTCTTATTGTTATTATTACAAATCATTTCACATGGTGAGTAGTAGGTCGTTTCTTGGGTCTAATAATGGTACTTGTTTTGTGTACCATGTTTTGGTCTTAGTATTAATGGTACTGTTTGGTACCTTTTAGGGTCTAGTATAATGTACTGTTTGGTACCTTTTAGGATCTAGTATAATGGTACTGTTTGGTACCTTTTAGGGTCTAGTATAATGGTACTGTTTGGTACCTTTTAGGGTCTAGTATAATGGTACTGTTTGGTACCTTTTAGGGTCTAGTATAATGGTACTGTTTGGTACCTTTTAGGGTACATGTGTGGATAATCTAGTATAGTGGTACATTTTTGTACCCAGTATTCTGAATATAAAAGGTACAATCATCACACATCAAAAACAACAACCATCATATCATATTTCCCAGCATGCTGTATTGCAGGTAGATGTTTTAGAATAGTTTGTTTTAATATAGAAAAAACATAGAATAGTTTGTTTCAATATAGAATATATGCATGCAAAAACACACAGATACATTTTTTTGAGTTTTTGAGTTTATTTTGTGCAATTCTACACATTTTGCCTGTGCTTAGCTCCATTCCATTTCTTTTTTATCCCCAGTCCTTAACGATTACAAGCATACCCAAAACATGATGCAGCCACCACTATGCTTGAAAATATGGAGAGTGGTACTCAGTAATGTGTTGTATTGGATTTGCCCCAAACATGACACTTTGTATTCAGCACAAAAACAGAATTTCTTTGCCACATTTTTTTTTTTTCGACTGAGGGACCTTACAGATAATTGTATGTGTGGGGTACAGAGATAAAAAATCATGTTAAACACTGTTATTGCAACATATTATGTGACTTGTTAAGCACATTTTTTACTCCTGAACTTATTTAGGCTTGCCATAACAAAGGGGTTGAATACTTATTGACTCAAGACATTTCACATTTTTTATGAATTTGTTAAAAGTTCCTAAGAACATGATTCCACTTTGACATTATGGGGTATTGTGTGTAGGCCAGTGTCAAAAAAATCTCTATTTAATCAATTTTAAATTCAGGCTATAACACAACAAAATGTGGAAAAAGTCAAAGGGTGTGAAAACTTTCTGAAGGCACTGTATATGTAAGAAAGGTACTATCTTTGTCCCCTACGTTTCCCAAACTTGGTCCTGCCCAAGCTTGATGATGACTTGGATATTTGAATCAGCTGTATAGTGCTAGGGACAAAACCAAAACATGCACCCAGGGGGCGCCCCAGGACCGAGTTTGGGAAACCCTGCCCTAAAGTACACTATTGGCTCTTTTAAGGTACGAACTGCAAGGGTACACTTACGTATCTATAACTAAAGGTACAAAAGACTGCAGTGACAAGCGTCTGTACCCTAAACCTTTTATTTTTTTTCGGAGAGTGTACGAGAAAGTGTAGTAGAATGTTTGCCATGGTTCATATTTTATTATAGTACATTGATGGCATTTTCTGTGAGCGTTTCTGTGAGCGTTTCGTTTCTAGCATACATCCATCGCCTGCTGAGATACATTTCAATTGCAATGTGGAACACGGCGTCACAGAAAAACGACTAGACTTCTAGATGAACAAACAACAAAACAAACAAATAAAACAAAATAACAGTGAACTTACCCAGCGTGTTTTAAATAGGCCTTTGTAACTACCCAAGCAGTGATAAAAACGGTTGGGGCCCCTGTGAATATCAGAGAACAAAAAAATAACAAAAAATAGTCAACAAACTGTGTGAGTTCATTAAAAAAAAGTTATTGCCAAGAGATTACGATACAGGTATCTGTGTCATGGGGCATGCAGACAAAGTATAACACCGTATAGGCATCTAGGCCTTAGTCACTGCTACTAGCTGGCTACCACCTGGTACTCCACCCTGCATCTTAGAGACTGCTGCCCTATGAACATAGTCGTTGAACACTGGTCACTTTAATAATGTTTACATACTGTTTTACCCACTTCATATGTAAAGTGGGGGGGGGAAAAGTATTTAGTCAGCCACCAATTGTGCAAGTTCTCCCACTTAAAAAGATGAGAGAGGCCTGTAATTTTCATCATATGTACACGTCAACTATGACAGACAAATTGAGAAAAAAAATTCCAGAAAATCACATTGTAGGATTTTTAATGAATTTATTAGCAAATTATGGTGGAAAATAAGTATTTGGTCACCTACAAACAAGCTAGATTTCTGGCTCTTACAGACCTGTAACTTCTTCTTTAAGAGGCTCCTCTGTCCTCCACTCGTTACCTGTATTAATGGCACCTGTTTGAACTTGTTATCAGTATAAAAGACACCTGTCCACAACCTCAAACAGTCACACTCCAAACTCCACTATGGCCAAGACCAAAGAGCTGTCAAAGGACACCAGAAACAAAATTGTAGACCTGCACCAGGCTGGGAAGACTGAATCTGCAATAGGTAAGCAGCTTGGTTTGAAGAAATCAACTGTGGGAGCAATTATTAGGAAATGGAAGACATACAAGACCACTGATAATCTCCCTCGATCTGGGGCTCCACGCAAGATCTCACCCCGTGGGGTCAAAATGATCACAAGAACGGTGAGCAAAAATCCCAGAACCACACGGGGGGACCTAGTGAATGACCTGCAGAGAGCTGGGACCAAAGTAACAAAGCCTACCATCAGTAACACACTACGCCGCCAGGGACTCAAATCCTGCAGTGGCAGACGTGTCCCCCTGCTTAACCCAGTACATGTCCAGGCCCGTCTGAAGTTTGCTAGAGTGCATTTGGATGATCCAGAAGAGGATTGGGAGAATGTCATATGGTCAGATGAAACCAAAATAGAACTTTTTGGTAAAAACTCAACTTGTCTTGTTTGGAGGACAAAGAATGCTGAGTTGCATCCAAAGAACACCATACCTACTGTGAAGCATGGGGGTGGAAACATCATGCTTTGGGGCTGTTTTTCTGCAAAGGGACCAGGACGACTGATCCGTGTAAAGGAAAGAATGAATGGGGCCATGTATCGTGAGATTTTGAGTGAAAACCTCCTTCCATCAGCAAGGGCATTGAAGATGAAACGTGGCTGGGTCTTTCAGCATGACAATGATCCCAAACACACCGCCCGGGCAACGAAGGAGTGGCTTCGTAAGAAGCATTTCAAGGTCCTGGAGTGGCCTAGCCAGTCTCCAGATCTCAACCCCATAGAAAATCTTTGGAGGGAGTTGAAAGTCCGTGTTAGAGGAGAAAGCCCCAGATAGAGGAGATCTGCATGGAGGAATGGGCCAAAATACCAGCAACAGTGTGTGAAAACCTTGTGAAGACTTACAGAAAACGTTTGACCTGTGTCATTGCCAACAAAGGGTATATAACAAAGTATTGAGAAACTTTTGTTATTGACCAAATACTTATTTTCCACCATAATTTGCAAATAAATTCATAAAAAATCATACAATGTGATTTTCTGGAGAAAAAAAATCTCATTTTGTCTGTCATAGTTGACGTGTACCTATGATGAAAATTGCAGGCCTCTCTCATCTTTTTAAGTGGGAGAACATGCACAATTGGTGGCTGACTAAATACTTTTTTCCCCCACTGTATATACTGTATTCTAGTCATTGAACACTGGTCACTTTAATAATGTTTCCATGCTGTTTTACCCACTTTGAGCGTGAAACATCCAGCAGTGTTGCAGTTCTTGACACACTCAAACCGATGCACCTGGCACCTACTACCATACCCCGTTCAAAAGCACTTCAAACTTTTGTCTTGCCCATTCACCCTCTGAATGGCACACATACACAATCCATGTCTCAATTGTCTCAAGGCCTAAAAATCCTTCTTTAACCTGTCTCCTCCCCTTCATCTACACCGATTTAAGTGGATTTAACAAGTGACATCAATAACAACTAATAATAATAACAATAATAACAACTCCTGAGTGGCGCAGTGGTCTAAGGCACTGCATCGCAGTGCTAACTGTGCCACTAGAGATCCTGGTTCGAATCCAGGCTCTGTCGCAGCCGGCCGCGACCGGGAGACTCATGGGCGGCGCATATTTGGCCCAGCGTCGTCTAGGGTAGGGGAGGGAATGGCCGGCAGGGATGTAGCTCAGTTGATAGAGCATGGCGTTTGCAACGCCAGGGTTATGGGTTCTATTCCCACGGGGGGCCAGTATAAAAAAAAAATAAAAAAAAAATATATGTAATCACTAACTGTAAGTCGCTCTGGATAAGAGCGTCTGCTAAATGACTAAAATGTAATGTAAATGTAAGGGACCATATCTTTCACCTGGATTCACCTGGTCAGTCTATGTCATGGAAAGAGCAGGTGTTCCTAATGTTTTGTCAACTCAGTGTATCTCTATTTATATATCCTGGTCTCTGACATTGCTTGTTCTGATACTTAATTTTTTTGGGATTGTGTATATAGTTTATTATTATTATTATTATTATTATTATTATTATTATTATTATTATTATTATTATTATTATTATTACTGCACTGATGGAGCTAGTAGAAACACAAACTTTGATTTGATTTAAATATTCATTCGTTTGGTCCAGTCTAGACCAACACAATGTTCAAACACAATGCTATCAATTCAATTCATCACTTTTCAAACACAATGTTAAAAATGATATTCTAACACAAGCACATGGCATTTCAATCAGTCTAGTAGAAAAAAGAACAACAACCAGCATTACATTCTACTTTTACTTTTCAGATTACTGCTCTGTAAGTAAATACTTAAAAACAAGGATCTCCAGTTGATCATCTCTGGAGTGTTTTTATCCAGAAATGGCCTTTACTTAAAATCTTCTTGAAATTCTGTAAATACATGGTCACACTGCCATTTGGCTATCAGTGATCAGGTTTGGACGAGTAGGACTGGATGTCTTAGGTATACAACAACAAAAGCGTCTGGAAGTGGTAGTTACTCTAGAAGTAATGTTAATCTAACGTATAATCAGCGTATCAAAATCGCGCTAGGCTTATGCAAGTAGAAGCAAAATCATTGACATATGGCGTCTCCTTAAAAAAAAAACGCCTGAATATAATAATCAAAAATCAAATCAAAATTCTCAGCCACACATTGCATATAATCCTAATTGGGATTGAAGACACAGTTGGAGATATGTCACCGTGACACCTACCCCAGCCAATCAGAATGTACCACCAGAAGTACTTCCTCTCGGAGAAGAAGGAGACAGCCAATATGGTGTGCAGGTAGAGGCCTTCGACCAGTAGCCAGAAGTAGCTGGTCATGATGCCGTACTGGAAGAAGACAACCCCTGCCTTACATCCCACCTACACAGAGAGAGAAGAGAGAGAGAGAGAGACAGAGAGAGAGAGAGAGAGAGAGAGAGAGAGAGAGAGAGAGAGACAGAGAGAGAGAGAGAGAGAGACAGAGACAGAGACAGAGACAGAGAGAGAGACAGAGAGAGAGAGAGAGACAGAGAGAGAGACAGAGAGAGAGAGAGAGAGAGAGAGAGAGAGAGAGAGAGAGAGAGTGAGAGAGACAGAGACAGAGAGAGAGAGAGAGAGAGAGAGAGAGAGAGAGAGAGAGAGAGAGAGAGAGAGAGTGAGAGAGACAGAGACAGAGACAGAGACAGAGACAGAGACAGAGAGAGAGAGAGAGAGAGAGCACAGTATGAACATGGAAGTGGCAGACTCGCATTAGTGGAAACGTTGGGGGTTCTCAGGGCAGGCCTATGAATGGACAAAAGCCATTGGTCACGTGACACCATTTCATTCCTATGTGAAGACTCAATATCACATTGAAGCCAAATGAAGTCGGTTAAAGATGGCGTCTCACGGAGACATAACATGCACAGTTTGAGCTACTCCAGGAAGTGACGTTGCAGGCTAGCTCAGTGCTGCCCCCTCTCACTGAGTAACTCAAGTTGAAGGCCGACCGAGGAACTGCAGGCTGCCATTAGCAACTAAATTACCCTTATTACTTCATCTGTGTGTGATTTTAAAATAATTGGTTCCAGAACATATATCTGGTGAATTAGAAGCAATTATTGGTACCATGAGGATTGCCATTTTTCCATTAACTATAATGGGGGATCCTGTTTTCTGCTAACAATGCCTGCAGTACCGCGGTCGGCCATGAACTTCCGTGGCTTCATTGAGAGGGGTCAGTCATTCTCTCCTGGTTTGAGTCATGTTGGGGATCGTTTTTTGGATTTTAGCTAACCCTTTTTCTAACCTTAACCTAATTATCTTGCGTAAGTTCTCCTAACCTGCTACGAAAAGTCACTTCTGCAAAAACCTACCTATCTAGTCAAAAGCGGCAGACCTGCACCGAGAACAGCGTGGGTTCTGAATAACGTGATACTCCATGCAAGTTAGTCAGATGATTGAGGAGAAAAACCTTGGTAGCACTCTCTTTTTACCATACATATGACGCCACATTTTCTCAGTCTGTTTATAAACATTCAATCCCTAGGTAATCAAACAATATACATCTCAAACTAACTGTCGTTCTACAAAACCACCACTGTAATGTTAGATTAGATAGTGGTTATGAGCTATCCCAGAGTAAGTTCTAAAGAGTTTACATGTCTTCTCTATAAGCTGTTTCTGAGGGTCCCTCTCTATATATAAAATGTATCCCCTAAGAGTCCTGGGCAAGCTGTTTCTAAGTGCTGTCTACATGTTAGATTAGATCAGTGTTTCTCAATCCTGGTCCTGGGGAGTCCTGGGCAAGCTGTTTCTAAGTGCTGTCTACATGTTAGATTAGATCAGTGTTTCTCAATCCTGGTCCTGAGGAGCCAAAGGGGTGCACGTTTTTTTGTATTCACACACACTTGATTCAACTCGTCAAGCCTTTGATTTGAATCAGGTGTGTGAGTGCTAGGACAATAACACAAAATGTGCACCTCGTTTGGGTCCCCGGGAACCAGGATTGAGAAACACTGCATTAGACAGTGGTTATGAAATATGTGATTCTTGTATAGCGTCAACACTACACGTCTCCTCTCCTGTAAGGTTCTTCTACAACTGTCTCCTAAAGGTCTGTCTTCAAACATGTCTTCTGTGAGGGTACCTGTCCCCGCTGGCTCTAAGGGTTGCCAGCTGTGTTTACCCCCCTGTTAATGTACAGTATATATCATGGAGCAGCACTCCACTGGAGGAGACAACTCTGCTCAGACTGTCGTTAAAAACATAGCCAGCCGTTGGACATCAAACCATCCGTCACACTTAAAGCTAATAAACATAGATCCATGGTATGTACAGTGCCTTCAGAAAGTATTCATACCCCTTGACTTATTCCACATTTTGTTGTATTAAAGCCTGAATTCGAAATGGATTAAATTGTGTGTTTTTTTCCACACCCATCTACACACAATATCCCATAACGACAAAGCGAAAACATGTTTTTAGAAATTTCTGCAAATGTATTGAAAATGACATACATAAATATCTAATTTACATAAAAATTCACAACCCTGAAAATATTGTGGAATATTTTGATTCTGTACATGCTTCCTTCTTTTCACTCTGTAAATTAGGTTAGTATTGTGGAGTAACTACAATGTTGTTGATCCATCCTCAGTTTTCTCCTATCACAGCCATTAAACTCTGTAAACAGTCACTATTGGCCTCATGGTGAAATCCCTGAGCAGTTTCCTTCCTCTCCGGCATCTCAGTTAGGAAGGATGCCTGTTTCTTTGTAGTGACTGGGTGTATTGATACACCATCCAAAGTGTAATTAATAACTTTACCATGCTCAAAGGGATATTCAATGTCTGTTTTTTTTACCCATCTACCAACAGGTGCCCTTCTTTGCGAGGCATTGGAAAACATCCCTGGTCTCTGTGTTTGAAATTCACTGTTCGACTGAGGGACCTTACATATAATTGTATGTGTGGGGTACAGAGACGAGTTAGTCATTCAAAAATCATGTTAAACACTATTATTGCGCAACAGAATGAGTCCATGCAACTTTATTATGTGACTAAGCAAATGTTTACTCCTGAACTTATTTAGGCTTGTCATAACAAAGGCGTTGAACACTTATTGACTCAAGACATTTCAGCTTTTCATTTTGAATTAATCTGTAAAAAAATGTCTAAAAACATAATTCCACTTTGGCATTATGGGGTATTGTGTGTAGGCCAGTGACAAAACATCTTAATTTAATCAAATTTTGAAATTCAAGCTGTAACACAACAATATGCGGGAAAAAGTCAAGGGGTGTGAACACTTTGTGAAGGCACTGTAGGTATGAGATGTATACCATTGCTGCGTAACAAAACCTGGCCCTGCTGCCAGCCGAGACCTTGCAGATCTGAGAGGATTGTATAAAGTGAAATCAATAACGTGACATTTACACCCATTCTGAGAGCAAGCCTGTTATTATACATTCTGCTTATATCCCTCGGAATCCCAGAAGGCCTAGAGTTGCTAGGAAGTAGAGTGTAGGCGGGGCTAGGGGGTCGATTTAGTTCATTCAGAATATACACTACCGTTCAAAGGTTTGGGGTCACTTAGAAATGTCCATGTTTTTCGAAAGAAAAGCAACTTTTTTTGTCCATTAAAATAACATCAAATTGATCAGAAATACAGTGTAGAAAATTGTTAATGTTGTAAAGGGCTATTGTAGCTGGAAACGGCTGATTTTTAATGGAATATTTACATAGGCGCACAGAGGCCCATTATCAGCAACCATCAGTCCTGTGTTCCAATGGCACGTTGTGTTTGCTAATCAAAGTTTATCATTTTAAAAAGGCTAATTGATCATTAGAAAACCCTTTTGCAATTATGTTAGCACAGCTGAAAACTGTTGTGCTGATTAAAGAAGCAATAAAACTGGCCTTCTTGAGACTAGTTGAGTATCTGGAGCATCAGCAATTGTGGGTTTGATTACAGGCTCAAAAATGCTGACCTTCTAGGCAGAGTTGCAAAGAAAAAGCCATATCTCAGACTGGCCATCTTAATCTTTTATTTTTATTGGCCAGTCTGAGATATGGCTTTTTCTTTGCAACTCTGCCTAGAAGGTCAGCATCCCGGAGTCGCCTCTTCACTGTTGACGTTGAGACTGGTGTTTTGCGGGTACTATTTAATGAAGCTGCCAGTTGAGGACCTATGAGGCGTCTGTTTCTCAAACTAGACACTCTAATTTATTTGTCCTCTTGCTCAGTTGTGCACCGGGGCCTCCCACTCTTCTTTCTATTCTGGTTAGAGACAGTTGGCGCTGTTCTGTGAAGGGAGTAGTACACAGCGTTGTACGAGATCTTCAGTTTCTTGGCAATTTCTCGCATGGAATAGCCTTCATTTCTCAGAACAAGAATAGACTGACGAGTTTCAGAAGAAAGTTCTTAGTTTCTGGCCATTTTGAGCCTGTAATAGAACCCACAATTGCTGATGCTCCAGATACTCAACTAGTCTCAAGAAGGCCAGTTTTATTGCTTCTTTAATCAGCACAACATTTTTCAGCTGTGCTAACATAATTGCAAAAGGGTTTTCTAATGATCAATTACCCTTTTAAAATGATAAACTTTGATTAGCAAACACAACGTGCCATTGGAACACAGGACTGATGGTTGCTGATAATGGGCCTCTGTACGCCTATGTAGATATTCCATAAAAAATCAGTCGTTTCCAACTGCAAAAGCCATTTACAACATTAACAATTTCTACACTGTATTTCTGATCAATTTGATGTTATTTTAATGGACAAAAAAGTTGCTTTTCTTTCGAAAACAAGGACATTTCTAAGTGACCCCAAACCTTTGAACGGTAGTGTATATTCTGAATGAACTAAATCGACCCCCTAGCCCCGCCTACACTCTACTTCCTAGCAACTCTAGGCCTTCTGGGATTCCGAGGGATATAAGCAGAATTTATAATAACAGGCTTGCTCTCAGAATGGGTGTAAATGTCACATTATTGATTCCACTTTATACAATCCTCTCAGATCTGCAAGGTCTCGACTGGCAGTAGGGCTAGTTTCTTTTGAAAAACAAGAACATTTCTAAGTGACCCCAAACTTTTGAACGGTAGTGTCTGTGGTTCTAGTCCCTCTTCATCCAACATAAAACACCAATAGCATGGCTAAGGTTTAACGGTGAGTTAATTAGTTATTCTGGATTTGCAGCTGTTGCAGAGTTTACTGACTGCACTTGGAAAACTTTCAATGTGATTCATAGCCAAACGCCAGCCCTCCTCTGTCTCTCAGCCAGGCAGCTCACCTCACCAATAGTCACTTCTGAGTGTTTAGCAAACAGGAACTCTCCCTAACATCCTGTTGCATGACTTCATTAGGGGAAACTCTCCAATGAGTCGACAAACACTGTTACACCCTGTTTGCTATAAAAGAGCCCTGGAAAGCAACGCTCAGGTCAAAACTTTACCCAGGAAGGAACACAAGGCAACAGCACTCTGTTTGAGTAATGAATCAAATGAGCGATAGAGAGAGAGAGGGAAAGAGAGAGAGAGCGAGAGAGCGAGAGAGAGCGAGAGAGCGAGAGAGAGCGAGAGAGAGCGAGAGAGAGCGAGAGAGAGCGAGAGAGAGCGAAGAGAGAGAGAGAGAGAGAGAGAGGGAGTGAGAGAGAGAGAGAGAGAGAGTGAGAGAGTGAGAGCGAGAGAGAGCGAGAGAGCGAGAGAGCGAGAGAGAGAGAGAGAGAGAGTTGTGACAGTTGACTGGGGCCTCTAAGACAGGCATGTTAACATATTGTTGCATGAGGAAGGAAATCAATAATAAAGGAAAGTATCCAACAAACAATACAGTGTTTACATTATACCCCCTCCCTCTAATCAAGGTGAGGCATTCTGCAGCTACCGTGTTGTTGAACCCCTCCCTCTAATCAAGGTGAGGCATTCTGCAGCTACCGTGTTGTTGAACCCCTTGTAAATGCACAGCAACATTGTGAAGACAGCATCTATTGACAATGTCAAAAGGTGCAGAATACATGAAACACTACAGAGCTGGGTCAAATATACACTGATGGTACAAAACATTAGGAACACCTGCTCTTTCCATGACATAGACTGACCAGGTGAATCCAGGTGAAAGATATGATCCTTTATTGATGTCACCTGTTAAATCCACTTCAGTGTAGATGAAGGGGAGGAGACATGTTAAAGAAGGATGTTAAAGCCTTGAGACAACAGACATGGATTGTGTATGTGAGTCATTAAGAGGGTGAATGGGCAGGACAAAAGATTTAAGTGCTTTTGAATGAGGTATGGTAGTAGGTGCCAGATGCACCGGGTTTTTCACGCTCAACAGTTTCCCGTGTGTATCAAGAATGGTCCACCACCCAAAGGACATCCAGCCAACTGAAACAACTGTGGGAAGCATTGGAGTCAACATGGGGCCAGCATCCCTGTGGAACGCTTTCGACACCTTGTAGAGTCCATGCCCCGAAGAATTGAGGCTGTTCTGAGGGTAAAGGGGAGTGCAACTCAATATTAGGACGGTGTTCTTTAATGTGTTGTACACTCAGTGTATGTAGACTACTTTCAAGTATTTGAGTTGTACAGATTTGACCCAGGTCTCCATGGTAACCAGTGGCACAACAAAACAGCATGGACTTACAGTTTCAGATTGGCAGTCAGATTCCGCGACCTCGTATAAAACCACATCTTTGATGAACACAGCCATGGCTTTCAGTATGAACGCCACAAACAGGTTCATGTGGATGTAGTTTCTGGTGCAGTGCAACTTCCTGTAGAACAACGTTACAAATATGCATTTCAGTTTAGAGCCGTTTTATCATATTCATGCACCATTTGATAATATTATCCTATTTTATTTCCTTTAAAATTTGTTAGAGGACCACATTTTGACAGACGTTAGACAACTATTGTACCACCCCCAGTGTGACTAAACATTTCCCAAACTAAGGTATTCAGACATTATTTGATAATGCAGAATGTCCGTCATGTTTCTCCTCCTTTCTTTGTGTTATAGGTATTATATGAATGGAATAGTACCTCTGAGTAACTTCCCAACACTTTTATACTGTCATTGAATACGTTCCTGTTCTCCCCTAAATACTACCATACTAGCATTCCCACAACTTTATTATCTGGTGGTGAAATATTTTTGCAGATTTGGTAAAACTTAAACCCTAACAGAAGTGATGTCTCTCCCCTTCAATACTCACCAACAGAAGTGATGATCAGATAACATTTCCAAAACTTTTATTTATTAACAGTGATGATCAGATTGGGGTAAAACTATAAAACCCTATAACAGAAGTGATGATCAGATTGGGGTTAAAACTATAAAACCCTATAACAGAAGTGATGATCAGATTGGGGTTAAAACTATAAAACCCTATAACAGAAGTGATGATTGGGGTAAACTATAAAACCTATAAAGAAGTGATGATCGGGGTTAAAACTATAACACCCTATAACAGAGTGATGTCAGATTGGGGTTGAACTATAACCCTATACGAAGTGATGATCAGATTGGGTAACTATAACCCTATACAGAAGTGATTATCAGATGGGGTTAAAACTATAACCCGTTAACAAGTGATGATCAGATTGGGTAACTATAAACCCTATCAGAAGTGATGTCAGTTGGTGTTAACTATAACCCTATAACAAAGTGATGATCAGATTGGGTTGAAACTATAAACCCTTACAAAGTGATGATCAATTGGGTTAACTATAACCCTTAAAGTGTGATCAGATGGTTGCTTACCCCTGTGTCATGGGTTCATCAACTGTGTGTATAGTGTGTTCGCAGTTGCGTTCCCCTGTTGTCAGGTGTTGCTGGTTCCCCTGTTGTCAGAGTGTTGCTGTGTTCCCCTGTTGTCAAGGTGTTGTTGCGTTCCCCTGTTGTCAAGGTGTTGCTGCGTTCCCCTGTTGTCAGAGTGTTGCTGTGTTCCCCTGTTGTCAGAGTGTTGCTGTGTTCCCCTGTTGTCAAGGTGTTGCTGTGTTCCCCTGTTGTCAGGTGTTGTGTGTTCCCTGTTGTCAGGTTTGCTGTGTTCCCCTGTTGTCAAGGTGTTGCTGATTCCCCTGTTGTCAGTGTTGCTGCGTGTTCCCTGTTGTCAGAGTGTTGCTGTGTTCCCCTGTTGTCAAGGTGTTGCTGTGTTCCCCTGTTGTCAAGGTGTTGCTGTGTTCCCCTGTTGTCAAGGTGTTGCTGTGTTCCCCTGTTGTCAAGGTGTTGCTGTGTTCCCCTGTTGTCAGAGTGTTGCTGTGTTCCCCTGTTGTCAAGGTGTTGCTGTGTTCCCCTGTTGTCAGGTGTTGCTGTGTTCCCCTGTTGTCAGGGTGTTGCTGTGTTCCCCTGTTGTCAAGGTGTTGCTGTGTTCCCCTGTTGTCAGTGTTGCTGCGTTCCCCTGTTGTCAGGTGTTGCTGTGTTCCCCTGTTGTCAAGGTGTTGCTGTGTTCCCCTGTTGTCAGAGTGTTGTTGTGTTCCCCTGTTGTCAGGGTGTTGCTGTGTTCCCCTGTTGTCAGGTGTTGCTGTGTTCCCCTGTTGTCAGAGTGTTGTTGTGTTCCCCTGTTGTCAGGGTGTTGTTGTGTTCCCCTGTTGTCAGAGTGTTGTTATGTTCCCCTGTTGTCAGAGTGTTGTTGTGTTCCCCTGTTGTCAGAGTGTTGCTGTGTTCCCCTGTTGTCAGGGTGTTGTTGTGTTCCCCTGTTGTCAGAGTGTTGTTTGTGTTCCCCTGTTGTCAGAGTGTTGTTGTGTTCCCCTGTTGTCAGAGTGTTGCTGTGTTCCCCTGTTGTCAGAGTGTTGCTGTGTTCCCCTGTTGTCAGGGTGTTGTTGCGTTCCCCTGTTGTCAAGGTGTTGCTGCGTTCCCCTGTTGTCAGAGTGTTGCTGTGTTCCCCTGTTGTCAGGGTGTTGCTGCGTTCCCCTGTTGTCAAGGTGTTGCTGCGTTCCCCTGTTGTCCAGAGTGTTGCTGTCAAGTGTTGCTGTGTTCCCTGTTGTCAGAGTGTGCTGTGTTCCCCCTGTTGTCAGAGTGTTCGCTGTGTTCCCCTGTTGTCAGTGTGCGTGTCTCCCTGTTGTCAAGTGTTGCTGTGTTCCCTGTTTGTCAAGTGTGCTGTGTTCCCCTGTGTCAGAGTGTTGCATGGTTCCCTGTTTCAAGAGTGCTTCTGCTTCCCTTGCAGAGTTGCTGCGTTCCCCTGTTGTCAGAGTGTGCACGTCCACTGTTGTCAAGGTGTTGCTGCGTTCCCCTGTGTCAGAGTTGCTGTGTCCCTGTGTCAAGTTTGCTGTGTCCCCTGTGTCAGGTATGCTGTGTCCCTGTTGTCATGTTGTGTGGTCCCCTTGTCAAGGTTTGCGTGTCCCCTGTTGTCAAGGTGTTGCTGTCCCCTGGTAACGGTGCTGTTCCCCTGTCTGTCAGAGTGTTGCTGTGTTCCCCTGTTGTCAGAGTGTTGCTGTGTTCCCCTGTTGTCAGAGTGTTGTGTCACAGAGTGTACTGTACATAAACAACACTGTGTTCTGTACACCTGTGATGCTCTGACCCTCCAAACTGTTGCTCAGGCAAGAAATAAGTTAGTTAGGGGCCTCTGCCATCGCATCGTAAGATCCCTTGGAGTAAACACATCACTCACTGTTTACCAAGACACACACACACACACACACACACACACACACACACACACACACACATTAAGCATCTCCAATCAAAAGGAGATCCTATTTCGCAACAAAGCCTCCTTCACTCATGCTGCCAAACATGCCCTCGTAAAACTGACTATCCTACTGATCCTTGACTTCGGCGATGTCATTTACAAAATAGCCTCCAACACTCTACTCAGCAAATTGGATGTAGTCTATCACAGTGCCATCCGTTTTGTCACCAAAGCCCCATATACTACCCACCATTGTGACCTGTACGCTCTTGTTGGCTGGCCCTCACTACATATTCGTCACCAAACCCACTGGCTCCAGGTCATCTATAAATCACTGCTAGGCAAATCCCCGTCTTATCTTAGCTCACTGGTCACCATAGCAACACCCACCCGTAATATGCGCTCCAGCAGGTATATCTCACTGGTCATCCCCAAAGCCAACACCTCCTTTGGCCGCCATTCCTTCCAGTTCTCTGCTGCCAATGACTGGAACGAACTGCAAAAATCTCTGAAGCTGGAGACTCTTACCTCCCTCACTAACTTTAAGCGTCAGTTGTCAGAGCAGCTTACCGATCACTGCACCTGTACACAGCCATTCTGTAATTAGCCCACCCAACTACCTCATCCCCATATTGTTATTTATTTTGATAATTTGCACCCCAGTATCTCTATTTGCACATCATCTTTTGCACATCTATCATTCCAGTGTTAATACGAAATTGTAACTATTTTGCACTATGGCCTATTTATTGCCTTACCTCCATAACTTACTACATTCGCACACACTGTATATAGATTTTCTGTTGTATTTTTGACTTTATGTTTTGTTTATTCCATATGTAACTCTGTGTTGTTGTTTTTATCGCACTGCTTTGCTTTATCTTGGCCAGGTCGCAGTTGTAAATGAGAACTTGTTCTCAACTGGCTTACCTGGTTAAATAAAGGTGAAATTAAAATAAAATAAAATAAAACACACAACCACACACACACACACACACACACACACTAACGTTCAAAAGTTTGGGGTCACTTAGAAATGTCCTTGTTTTCCATGAAAACATACATGAAATGAGTTTGAATAGGAAATAAGGCAAAATGCATAGGAAATGTAGTCATTGACGAGGCTAAAAATAATGATTGTGTCCTTCAAACTTTGCTTTCGTCAAAGAATCCTCCATTTTGCAGCAATTACAGCCTTGCAGACCTTTGGCATTCTAGTTGTGAATTTGTTGAGGTAATCTGAAGAGATTTCACCCCATGCTTCCTGAAGCATCTCCCACAAGTTGGATTGGCTTGATGGGCACTTCTTACGGTCAAGCTGCTCCCACAACAGCTCAATAGGGTTGAGATCCGGTGACTGTGCTGGCCACTCCATTATCGACAGAATACCAGCTGACTGCTTCTTCCCTAAATAGTTATTACATAGTTTGGAGCTGTGCTTTGGGTCATTGTCCTGTTGTAGGAGGAAATTGGCTCCAATCAAGCGGCGTCCACAGGGTATGGCATGACGTTGCAAAATGGAGTGATAGCCTTCCTTCTTCAAGATCCCTTTTACCCTGTACAAATCTCCCACTTTACCACCACCAAAGCACCCCCAGACCATCACATTGCCACCACCATGCTTGACAGATGGCATCAAGCACTCCTCCAGCATCTTTTCATTTGGTCTGCGTCTCACAAACGTTCCTCTTTGTGATCCGAACACCTCAAACTTCGATTCGTCTGTCCATAACACTTTTTTCCAATCTTCCTCTGTCCAGTGTCTGTGTTCTTTTGCCCATCTTAATCTTTTATTTTTATTGGCCAGTCTGAGATATGGCTTTTTCTTTGCAACTCTGCCTAGAAGGTCAGCATCCCGGGGTCGCCTCTTCACTGTTGACGTTGAGACTGGTGTTTTGCGGGTACTATTTAATGAAGCTGCCAGTTGAGGACCTGTGAGGCGTCTGTTTCTCAAACTAGACACTCTAATGTATTTGTCCTCTTGCTCAGTTGTGCACCGGGGCCTCCCACTCCTCTTTCTATTCTGGTTAGAGACAGTTTGCGCTGTTCTGTGAAGGGAGTAGTACACAGCGTTGTACGAGAGCTTCAGTTTCTTGGCAATTTCTCGCATGGA